GCGTGGTGCGGGCGCAACACCAAGGGTTGCGATCCCATTACCGGTCAGTAAAAAAAGACAAAAAGGAAAAAGAAAAAAAAAAAAAAGAATCAAGCTATGACAACCACTTCATTTGCAATACAAATGTTGCTCTAGCCCTTAACACATTATATTACTTAAGTTGTCTACTTAATACTGCCTTTGAAAAAGTTGTTTTAAATATACTACTTGGGCATGTGAGAAGTTAAGGGGAAGACCTATAATGTTTCACATTTAATAAAAGTAAATCTCTTGTTCTTTCTGTTGTTGCTCTAGAAACTTAGAGGCTCACAGCCAAAACTAAGCCTAAATTATGGTAGCTTAAGAAGATTGTCTAGTTTGGGCCCTAATTTTGTATTTCCATTTTCGTAATTTTTTATTATATGTTTTATATATATAAGTCCTTCTTGAATGAGGTTTGGTATAAGTTAAAATATGAAACATCTAAATCCTAGAATTTAATCATAGCTTGGTATAGGATCAAGTTACATAGAATTAGATTAGATACAAGAGTCAGCAAACTATTTATGCAAAGTGCTCAGTAATAAAATGTTTAGGTTTTAAGGGCCATTCAGTTTCTGTTGCAACTAATCAACTCTGCCGTTGTAGAACAAAAACAGCCAAAGGTAATACAAAAACAAATGTGTAGCTGTGTGCCAATAAAACTTTATTTACAAAAACAGGAAGTGAACAAATTTGGTCAGTGGGCTATGGTTTGCTAACCCCGGCAAGAAGACAGATATGGTCTTTCAGTTTTTGTATTTCTTCAAAAAACATTCTATGTAAAACCCCTAAGTTACAAAAAGAAGAGAAATCTAAAACCATAAGACTGACTCTAATTCTGTAGTTTTGCTAGTAGGTTTGCATTTTGTTTTTCATGTGGATCATAACACCCATAATTTGAAAGTATAAGATGTATTCAGAACTTGACAGAAAATTGCTAAATATGCACCACTCTTCAAGTATACATAAATAATTATGATTCAATGATAAAATCTACTCTGAGTCAGTCCCTTGAACCACATACTGCTTGGATTTGACCATGGGAGCAGGTGAAAACTTGAAAAACTTCTACTTTCTTTTAGACTACTATGCACTGAAGCACTGATTTACTAAATAGCATCTAGTGATAGGAAGGAGAATAATTGAATGGTACTTCTATCTTTTCCTATAGAGAATTATATGTTCTCACAAATGCAGGCACATAGATATATTTTTCCAAACCAAGGGATTAGAAGACCATAAAAGTACATGCTTTCATTCTTGTGTATTTTGTAGACCTAAATCTGTAAAGACAATTGTCCTCTTACTGTTCTCAAAATCAGTTTAAGATGAAATGCTGGTTGTAAATACTTAACAGTGAAATCATAAGTAGTGCAATGGTACAATGGCAAGCAGACTTTTGCATCATTTTATTCCCAAAATTAACTGTAAAACTTGCTACTCCTTGAACTGATAATATATACCTTAGAACAGTGCTTCCCAAACTGGGCTGCACATAAGAATTACCTGTGTCCCTTTTTAACACATAAAATTCTGGCCCCATTCCCAGACTACTGAATGAGGTAAAATATTGGCTTGACTTTACTTTGTCTCCTCCCAGAAATTTGATGGGGTTGGACAAAGTGATTAAATCCTCACCACATCCTACTCTAAAGTAAATATTACTGCTTTCCACAGTTAAGAGAACTAGGGCTCAGAGAATCTAACTTGCTTAAGTCATCTATCCACAGCCCTACAGTCTTTCCCAGAAGAGCCATCAGTTTCTGTTATGTCACTAGAATGGAATTAACCAGCAGGGTGGAGGCACATATTCTAATTTAGGACCCGAGATTGCCTACTTTTCCTTTCATTAAGTGTTTACTAAATAGATAGTAGAAAAATTAAATAAAATACAAAGCCCAAAGGTTACTAGTACAGGTTATTTTTAATAATGGGATGTTGCCTGTCTGTCCTATGACTTTTTAACTTTTTCTAATTTTTATCTTTTCTTATCCTCAAAAGGTTTTTAAAAAGTGGCTGCAAGCTAAAAAGAGGCCACCTGCGCTTCAAAGGATGGCAGAAAAAAAGTTTAGTTGAAATACCTGGATTCAAGTCATGGCGGGGAGAAGAAAGCAGGTGGAATGGACAGGTAGGCAGAATAGGAGAAATACACTTTACATTTATTTTTCTATAACCAAGAATATATTTTATCAGTGTGTCAAATCTGCACCTGGGTACTCAGTAACATTTGTGGGAATATCTGTTTTGTTTTCAATGTAATATTTTCAAATTGCAAGGTAGCAAACAGCAGAAACAGCAATGGTAAAATGAAAGATAGGAAGATAGGGCTCCAGATCATTCCGAGTTGTTTCTGTTTCCCCAGACTGCTCGACTTGGGGAGGTTAAGTTTAAATGCATCCATAGTTTCATACTCTCTGTTGATGTATGCAGAGTAAAATAACTATGAGGTGAATACGTAAAATAAACACAAGACAAATTCTATAAGAATCACATTTCTAGAAAGTTTTTTTTGTAGAAAGTGCCTCAATTCAAACATAACGTGTAGATTAAATTTGTGGCCAGGGAAATAAACTGCAATAAAAAATGTTGGGTTTTTTTCTATATGATAAGTAATCAAGGAAATGTTAGACAACATCACAGAACTTTTTTATTTCAGGTATTCAATGCACATTGCTCTCACAGTGAAAACCACAAAATCAAATTTTAAAAAAATCAATTTTCCATATTCATGAAATTGTTAAATTGCTACTTTTTCTTGAGGCCTATCCAGAAATACCATCTTATTATACAGAGTAAAAGAGTGCCAAGAAAGAGTTAGAAAGTAGATGTTTTAAAAGCTGTGGGAACGTGGGGAAAAGAAACCAAATAGCATTTACACTCACAAATTCTGGTGACACCATATAGTTATCTGCGCCACTGGGCCTTGAAGCTCCTTTGGCTGCCAGATGCTATTGCCTTCAGGCTATCTTTGCACTTTCTTGAATCCAAAATCTGCAAAGCAATCCTCCCTTTTCTTGTAAAACTGACCCAATGACATCAAGGGACAGAAGAGATATAATCCATCTGTTTTGCAGCTGGAGAAAATTGAAAATTGAAATTGAAGTTGAAATGCACAGATAATCCATGCTGTGCCCGTAGAAAGTCAGTAGCAGCACCAAGGAGGTAGGGGAATATAGGAATTTTAGCCAATAGTAGCAGCATGTTCTTAGGGCCAGTTTGCATGACTCTGGGAGCACAGTTCACATGGCAACATGCAGTGCTTGTACAATCACCCATTCAGTGATGGGATGAAATATTTTGTGGGATGAGAAGGAAACTAAACATTTTATATCTTTCTTCTTTACAACAACCATTCTGATAAATAGGCTTCTGACAATATCATTTATGGATATTCCAGAACTTTAGATTGGTCCTTCTTAATAGAGCCAACCCTAACAAAACTACGAGGTTTGCAAGCTGAAAACAAACTTTGCAAACCTCATAGTTTTGATATCCCTTTTGTAGTTTTAATATCCCTTTTATAGTTTTGATATCACTTTCCTTTTTCTCATTTGCTTCCAGAAACCCAGTGCTTTAGATTTCTATTCTATTCCTAGAAGGCAGAGATGAGTAAACAGCATTCACCAGGACCTGTCCTCATGGCCCCTAATCTGCACATTTTAAGACCTTCTTACTTCTTATCAAAGCAGATCTTCTTCAGCTCTTTTCCCTCTGAGCTTTGCTAGGTAAGTAGCTTACAACTTTACTGCCAATGTGCTAAAGGGTGATCATGGCTAACTATCCCCCCAACCTTCTCAGAAATATCTCTCCAACTTCCTTTCACTCACCAGCACAAAGTAGCAAAGGGGCACCTAACTGAAAAAGAAGTGCTACCATGACGGCAAGATTGTTGCAAAAACTACCCTGGCACCAGGATCTGACTATTTTTCTCTTGAAGGAAAGCACCACGGAAATCAGCAGTTAATTTAAGTTGCTTCTCCCCACCTCTTTTTTAATAAATAGGGAAATAGGTGCATTGTATAATCATAAAGAGAAAAATCTGACTCGCTTATGCTGAATGAGTATTCCACATCATCATTGCTCTAAAGATGAAAAATTAGTGCAGGATAATGGGCCAAAAGGGAGACTGAGGCAGCAAGGAGGTAAAGAGGAGAGTAGAGAGGGTGAGAGCTGGACACGGGTCCTCCCATCTATGCTCCCCTCACACCAGGTGTAAGATACAGGAGGAGGCACTTCACCTCTTGAAACCTCAGTTTCCTCTTCTGGAAGCTGGGGGGAAGTTAATATTTCTGAATCTTAGCACATCCAGGGGGCTACAGTGAGGGTTGATTGAGATCATGATACAGAGTATAGCTTGGAATGTGTCATATGGTTAGTTGCTCCAGAAATGTGAGCTATTATTGTTATTGTTACAGCTCTTTCGACCTTCATCATCTGCTGAACTTTCTTTTTAAATAACTTCCTTTAAAACTTGTCTCCTATTTTTCTCTTTAAATGATAGAAATAAAAGCACTTGGTGAGTAATGGTGTGTGTGATAAATATCTGTACTTCTTTCATATTTAGAGCCAATCTGTGAATCATATTCAAGCTGGCTTCTTGAAACAATTTCCAGCACATTCTACTTGCAGTCAGATGAAGTGGCAATTTTCTTAAAATACGGAGCAGTTTGGTGCTGGGCAGAACATGTATTCAGGCTCATAAACATAAACATTTTTTATGTAGCCTTTAAACATGAACTATGCAACTCCAAAATGCTTTGAAAATATAAACAAAATAATTTCAGGAATAAAGTTATATAGCAAAAAAAAAATTGAGAAGTAGGAAAAAAGGAGATAAGATTTTTTATGATGCCGGAAAGTTGATCATGGATAAAAATTTGTTATTGTGAATTTTTTTAGAGGAAGACAGTAGTACATACTAGAAATTGTTTAACATTATATGTCAAGTGACTTTGGCAATTACTTTTTATTATTCTGACCTTGTTCCAGCAGCCCCAGCCCGAGGCCGGCATGGAGCCTTTTTTCAGCAATGACAACCCTATAGCGATGCTGTGTGAGAAGATGCTGGTGGATCCGAAGCTCTGTTTTGCTGTAGGAAGGAGGCCTGAGGAGTATGGCGCTTCTGCCATGGCTGCCAAAGTGTGTCTCAATTGACTCTTTGATCTAAGAAGAGAAAGAAGGCATAAAAATTCAAAATGAAAAAGTAACACATTTCCCTGGAAGGACGTCACTAATGTAAATCAAGGACCATTCAGAACGTTTTTCTTTAAGTTTCTCTCTAGAAATGAAAGACATTCTCTGAAAGGCTGACAAGAACAAAGACTGCTTTATATGCAAGAACTGAAGGTGAACTAAATTGTTTGCACTGTTACAAAAAGATGAAAATTTTAGGCCATTAAAATATAGAGCTCCTTAGAATAATACTCCTACACAGAAATACAAGTATAGAGCTCAACATTAGTTGAAAATATAAATTAATACAAAACCTTTCCTCTGCATTGTGTTTTTATAAAATAGTTCCACTCTGTTATCTTTAATAGCTCTTTTAAGTAAACACGGTAGAGGGAACAGATTGAGAGGATATGTTTTGTGCTGGGAGGACATAGTCAGGAAGGGGTAGAGGTGAGAAGGAATCCCAGAGCTCTTTGGAGATGCATGATGCTGCTGTTTCTCTCAAATAAGATGTAACAAAACTTGAATGCACCTCAGTGAGGCAGGATGGGTCTTCAAATATGAGAAGAGGAGAGCTACTGAAGTATCATAAGACTAGGTTCATACCTTGACAGTTTATTGCACTCCCATATAAATATTCCTCTTTGCCACAATGGTGCTTGAAATTCCATTAACAAGGTGTTTTTTAATTGACATGTAGAAAGAAGAAGACTGAAATTTAAATTCATTGTAAGGCTTAATGGCAGATAGAGAGTATTCTGAAAACTTGAGATTCACCCTTAATAAAGTGAAGATGTTTTTGTAACTTAAAGGAAGGACAAGATTAGATGGAGGTGTGGGCAAAAAAGGGGACAGGACAAATAAGAGGAAGCTAAGGAGATGGTAGGAAAAATGAGGGGGAACTGGTGAGAAACAAATTGGGAACCCAAATTACTTCTGACGGCAGATCTGAGTCAACATAGACTATGGATTAAAACATAATAGTTACCATGTTTTTTCAGTACTTAGGTTTCTTCATTATTTCCCAGTACTAATAGAACTGATCCTGCATCCTCATCAAGGAACACAGGCCATTTGAACTTAGACTGTGTCTGCCTTGTCGGGTCATGTCACACTCTAGGTCATTTCCATTCCTGGTCTCCATCCTGCTCTTTTACACACCACTGTCCTTCTGCCTGCAGTCTTCTTTCTCTCTCTATTCAGCTATCTATCAAACTCCAAGTCATCCCCCAGTGTTCAAACATTCTCTCTTTTGGAAAGTTCTAATTGAAACACATATTTTTGCATTTATCAAAGGAAATCGCTTCTCTCCCTCATGTCGGCTCCTTAACAAGCCAGGCCTGCACTGTTCGTGTTTCTCCCACGTCCATCCCAGTACACAGCACATGGGGCATGCTTAATGAATAAAAGCATTTAGTAAATTAATGAACTATCAAAATCTTTGAAGATATGTATAGGAAGAAAGAAGAAACATTTAAATTGCAAACTCTTTAAGGGCAGGAACCATATCTTATTGTTCATTGCATATAAACTATCGCTATCTGAAAACTAATAGACAAAGCACAATGCAGGAGGACACAAACTCTGGAGCTAAACTGCTGGATTCAAATCATCTGGCTTCACCAGCACCATCTGTGTAACCTTGGACAATACCTTCTTCCTAAGGATACTATGAGGATTAGAGAGTTAATATCTTTAATGTGCTTAGAACCGTGCCTGCCACATAGAAAACCGTATATATATGTTTTTAAAATAATAATAAAATATTATAAAGAGCAATGAGTCAGGAAAACAGTATCTGAGTTTGAGTTCTGCCTGATACATGCTAACATAGGCACTTAATACGTGTATGGTGATTATAATGGAGAGGAATAGTATACTAATTAATCACACTTTCTATCCATGGTACTTCAAGAAAAGTGATTGATTAGATATTTTTCCTTATTAAAGAATGTTTTTTCTTTTTTATTGATAAGGAAAGTCTTTAAACTCAAGAATTTAACTGCCCATTGGGACATGATTCCCCAACAAGTGCTGTAATTGTTTGTAATAACAAACTTATAAGGAGTCCTTGACACTGAATACAGGTCCAGCCTTTGGACACGGAGGTTAGAGGGAACTGAGTAGCTGGTAAGAGGCCAATGTAAACAAACAGGCGTCTAGGTAAAAGGGGAAGACACATGCCTCCAAATATATCAGTGTCACTCAAGCAAAATGCACAGTGTCCAGAGTTCCCATCTCACATTCTTTTCTTTCGTAATCACAGGATACTCCTCTCTACTACAGCTGGATCAAGTATAGCAGGGATTTAACATGAGCAGAGTACGTTTTACAAATTTGAGTTACTTTTATTTTGTAAGATACCACTCCTCCTTTTCTTCCATCTAGGATCAGTTTAACCAAGAGCAATGAAACTTTTACTGGTATATTTTATATAAAGTGTATTCTAAATAAGGTATAATTACTGGCCATATTTTGTACTAACCTTTATAACATAAACTTAATTTTAATTCCTGTCTCCGACTGTAGAGAATACGTAGGAAATGAGCTCATCAGTAAAATTATGTTATATTATCCTGTAATACAAACTGCTCTTGTCCTTGTAATATTTATAACACACCGTATCAGCAGAATGGCCCAATACCAAAGGACGAGAACAGTTTTAGCCGGTCCGACAACAGGTGCACACACTGCATATGTGAAATAAAAACTATGAGAACAATTATGTCAATCGCACCAGCAAATGCAGGATTATCAAATGCCAAATAGCAGCACTTTGGGAAATAAGAGCTCCTGATTACTCCGACAGTTTCGAAGATGTACTTGCAATGCAAAAATATGTTGAACCTGGCCACCAACACAACTTAACTTGAGACTTAAAACCTTGCTGACCAGAATTTAAAGAGGAATGAGTGCCACTGGATGCTAATACTACAAACTTCCAAGTCACTTGCCTCTCTCTCTTCTTCCTGAGAGATTTGCAAAATATTTCCTCAGAAATCACCTTGCTTGACTACATGAAAGTGGTTTTATAACTGAACACTTATTATTTTTATTGGAGGGACTTCAGGGTCTGAAATCTTTCTATCACCTTAGATAAAGCAAAAGATAGAACATCATAATAAACTACTGGGAGTGTTAGATGCAGCAATGTCGAGTGAAAAGAAGGAAGGATTGGCAATCAAAAATCTGGATTTTAATTCTGGCTCTCCCACTTACTTGCTTCATCCACTGGGGCAAGTTATTTAATCTATCCACATGAGGATTTTCTCGTATGCCTAGCTGAAATAACAAATCCTACCTCATCTGGAATTAAATGCATTTTCAATATGAAAGTGTCCAACACAGTATTCCACCAAAATGATGTTAAATATATATGAGTAAAACTGAATAATAATCAATGCTATATGGTAACTCTATATTTATATTAGGAATTCTATAAGCTTTTCAATTAATATGGTTTGGTCTCTGTAATAAAAAAGCATTTTCATAATAAGCTATGTGCTTCTATATATCTGATATATGTTTTCATCTGTAGGAGTCATCTTTTAATGCACAAATATAATTTATTTATTATGTTTATCATCTTTCTCCCCATGCCAGAATGTAAGCTAAATGACAGCATATATTTTTGTCTGTTTTGTTTACTTTTGTTTTCCTGGCCTAAGAACAGTAGTTGAAATATAAGAGTAACATAATAAATATTCTTCGGATGAATGAATGCAAACATCTTTTTCTTTAATATGTAAAAGAGTCTTTGTTATAAATATTACCATGGAAGATTGGGAAGGGAAAGTGGTTAAAATTTGTATTAAGCAATTTATTTCAATAGAATTGTAAATAGTAGTAAGAATGACAAAAATAGAGTTAAATATTTGAGCAAAATAATGAATTTACAGTAAAAAGTTGAATAAAGAGCCACATTATAAAAGAACTGTATTTCTCAGTTACTTACACTATTAAAAAGTCTTCACTAAGACTTGCCACAAAACCAAGAAATGTAGCTCTTAAAAATATATTAGGGATAAAAAATAAAATCTGTTTGTTTCACATGACACAAAGATTTTTTTTCTGGATTTATTATTATTAGTAGCCATGTATTTATGACGTCTTCTGGTGCTCAAATACAGATAATACAGTAGACTTTAGAAGTGTGTCATATATGACTAAAAGTTAAATTGCCTTCCTGGTCCAGATTTTTGGCATTTTAGGAATATTACAGAGTCTATCATTGTGAATTATGTGTTAATTTTTCCACTGTAGGAATAAAATACAGATTATTTTCTCCACTAGTGAAATATACACTTATTTTGGAGGGTGTAACAAGTAAAACGGAAGTTTTCTAGGATGCATATCACTGACATTTTCTACTTATAAATCATCTTACAATTGCTGGACAATTTAGGGACCACAAGTTCCTGGATATGCAGACAGAGCCTTCGAAGAAAGTCCCGACCTAAATGAAACGTTAGTGAGCCCCTATCTGCGTCCTACAGCTGATTCCACTGAATCTCATGCCCATCTTGGAATGGCCATACATTTCACAGATCTACTGCATGTCACTGAGCACCTTCTGACTGTACTCCCAAACTTCTGACTGTACCTTGGAACTAACCCAACTCTCAACATCCAATGATAAGCAAGTTTGCTAATCTGTGGTTCTATGTATGTTTGGAACAAGGAATAGAGAAACAAAAGCAATAAAGTATCAATATCAAAAATGTATCTCCAATAGAGCTTTGATGAAATAGTATCCCCCTAAATAGGCATTGCCGAAACCCATCATCACTTGTCCCTCAACCTAGTTTTCCCACTGGTACTCTGCACGGTGTATAATTTGTTCACTGTCTGCCTCTCCTACTACTCTGTTCCAGGGAAGCCTAAACTTGTCTGCTTTGGCCATTGCTGCATATGCAGCTTACTACCATGTTCTAAAAAAGAGAAAATTGGTGCATGAATGAGCACATGAATGCATGCACGAATGCAAAATA